GGCACTCGATAATCGCCGACGGATTGAGGTGTCCATTATAAGCCATGCTACACGTAGACACCCTGTGAGAACCCTGGAAGTTACCTGGAAATGCACCAAGCACAACCTTGTATAGTACTATATCCGGACAATCGGGGAAACCTGCAACACGAGAGAACTAGACCCCAGGCCCCCGGACACCCTGAGGCACGATGCGCCTCGATCCACTACGTGGACTGTGACGGGATACGCCGACAGTCATGTTGAGAGCCTCGAGCTCTTGCATACCTGCAAGACCTCTCAGCACGCTGTACTCCTGCACGACTACGAAGAGCGTTCTACCTAAATCCACTGTGTCCCGTTTTTCCATAAGGCAAAGCGAACCACTTCAGCCCACACGTTGCGTAACGCTCCACGCGTCACCTGCACGCGAGCGCGGCAGGCGACACTTGGAACTTCGTCTCTCAGACCTCGACATGTGCCTACTCAACATCCGCAGGAAAAAATGGCGCACCACTCTTACTCTCTTGGGAAGAGGCAGAGGACAACGTTGAACTTCTGTGCATGTCTTTCTGTGCTTTCTTGATGTGTGTCGGACCGCCTTTGATTTATGCGTGTTTCTGTATTGAATACATGCGTGTATAGGTGCGGAGGGGAATCCATGGTCTGACGTCGCAATGACGATGGATCGTGCCGAGAAAATCTCGAAAGTGGCGCGTCTCTGAGACATCTCGCGATGACCGCCGTGCCTGCGTGTCACCGAGCGCTAACCGCCACGACGACCTGCTGACACGAACGCGGGGCGAATGGAGAAGAATATGACTCACATCAGATGCAAAAATGGAGATATCGTAGCGGTGCTGGGCTACGTGCGGAATTTGCGCACACCAGCCACCTCGTGCCAAAAAACACAGTAGGCGCGTGCGTTCGGGCCGCAAGCCAAGTCACCATTGACGTGATGGTCGTGGTCGTCGTCGTCGGCGCCGTCGTTGTCCTTTCGTCATCGTCGTCATCGTCATCGCCATCACATTCGAAGCCATGGGAAAGAAAGTGCCGCGCGCCGACCGCACTGTGGAAGCTCAACAGGAAGCGAGAGTGCCGGCAACCAATATTCTGCGCGCTCGCTTCCAGGAACCCCCGTGGCAAGCAAAAGTACAACAAAGCACAGGCGCTTCTCCATGCCAACCGCAAAGATGATGCTAGCAGGCGGAGACTATTACGGGTAGGCGGAGCGAAGCTCACAGCCACACTCCAATACTAGAAGCCAGAATGGCAACGACAACAACGCTGGTCGGGAAAGATCCGTGGTTTCGACGACGGCCGCCCTCTGTCTTGCCTCCCAACTCCTTCCCTCCCGCCTCCTCTTCCGACTCCTCCTGCTTCGGACCATAGAATACACGTACAGGGAAACAGACACATGCTTGCACCAGACCACTGTCGGCATGCTTCGCTGGGGTTCCTCGTCGGCGATGGCACTACCACTACTGCGTCTACATGTACTACAACGACTACTACGACTACTACGACGACTCCTACTATTACTACTCCCACTACTACTTCTACTGCTACTACGAGGTCTACTACAACTACTGCTGCTACTACTCATCGTACTACTGCTGCTCTGCCTCCTAGACCTACTACTACTACTACTACTGCGAGCACTACTCCTTCTACCAAGACACCTACATCTACTGCCACTGAAACTTGTCGTGTCGCTACTACTGCTACTACTACTACTACTACTACTACTACTACTACTACTACTACTACTACTACTACTACTACTACTACCACTACACGGAAGCGAGAGGAAGGAGGAACAAGGGAGCTATGCGGAGCCCAGCGGACACACGCCTGACACACACCACTGTCGGCATGTTTCACAAGAGGTGCTGCTGTGAGATGGGCTGGTGGGGGTACGCGAAGCGTAAAGAATTTCGAGGAAAGCAAAGACTCAAAAACGAACGCTCAAACGGTCAAACAGTATTCAACAAATAATCCCCAAACTTTTTTAAAACTATTTTTGAACAGTTCCACTGTAGAGGGACACGCCCGACTTAAGCCTAAGGTCTCCCCCGCTTTTCGCGCAGGGTCCTCCTCGAGGGTGCTCGGAAGGCCATCTGGGCCTCCCGGGCCGTCCCGGGGACACCCTGGCCCAGCGACGCCTGTGGCAGCAACCGGCCCAACGACGTGTCTGGTGGTGCGACGTGCGCCAGGGAGGAGCCGGGAACTTTTGCTTCGCTTGCTCTTCTAGGAGGCAACTACTGGGAGGTTTTCGTCGGAAAGATTAAGGAGGATTCAACCCCATTTGGGAGCTGTTACGCCGGAGTGGGCCTCGGATTGAGCGGGACTAAGCCGGATTAAGCGGGACAAAGCGGGATTAAGCGGATTAAGCCGGATTTCGGACCAGGGAGTTGCATCCGAAGCTCTTGGATAGCGTGTCGCTCCTCTCCGCGAGGCGGGAAACTGGGAAAGGCTCGGAACGCTGACGCTGGGAGCGGATGGCTTGATGCACTGAAGCGCGGCGGGCCAGACTGGCGGAGCGACCCGCCATCCAAAGGTTCCCGACTGTAGGAGGACGCCATCTGTGCACCCAAGTGCGCCGATCCTGGCCTGGCCCCTCCGGGGAGCGGGATCGGACTGCCCGCGCGCTCCCCTGGCTCAGCTAGGACCCCTTCCAATCGCACCAACCCTGGGCCAAGCGGGGGGCAGGGCGGAGTCAGCGTGGGTGCACGACTGGCAGCCCAGGCACCCGACATCGTGGTAGAGCCAACCCCTGGAGGTCTCGACCCCTTCCCCGGAGCCGCTTTCCATCCCGTCGCGGTCGCACGGCCCCAGGGTCCCGTAAGGGGCCCCCAGGAGACCTCCCGTCCGGATCGTTTCGCGACGCGAGGGGGTCTGTGACTTCCTCCCCTTCCGCTTCCCTTGCCCGGGGTGAACTGTGCCTGCCGCCTCCGACAAAACATTCACAGAGAACCCTCCCATCCTGCGCCTTCTCCTCCTCCTCTTCTCGTACTCCTACCTGCGAGGGGGCAGGGCAGAGGGGGGACACCGAGGAGCCGGAGCAAGGGAGAGGAGGAGGGGGAGCGAGGACGAGGTGCAGGAGGGGGGCGCAGAGGAGAGGAGGGGGTGGGAGGGAGGGGGGTGGGCGGGCGAGGAGCACGCCCCTCCTCCAGCCTGCAGAAAGTCGAGCCCGGTGGCCGCAAGACCGATGCCGCTGGCCCGGGAGCGCGCCTGGGCCTGCCACCTCCAGCGCGCCAGCGTGCGCCGCAGCCGGAACCACCTCGGCGGGCCCGCTCGCGCCCCGCCGACGCCCGCCACCGCCCTCCTCGTCTCCGGCACCCGGCCGCGCTGGACTCCGGAGGAGCAGGGCGCGGCACGGGCACGTCGGGCAGCGGGGAGCGCGCGCGGGCCAGGTCCGCGGGCCGAGCACCCGGAGGCCTCGCGCTGGGCAGAGGGCTGGCGAGACGCGTGGCCCCAGGTGCGCCCAGCTCTCGCCCAGGCCGGCCATGCCACGTGTCCCCGCGCGCGGAGCGCGTCAGGGGCGGTGCCTCAGGCACCCCAACGGGGGGCACGGCCCAGCGCCCACCAGGGAACTCCGCGCGGGCGTGTACCAAGTTTCACCAGCCCTCGGGGCGACAGGTGGTCTAACGATGTTATTATGTTTCTCTTCCACAGCCCTTTCTTCCCCTTCGGGGAGGGACGCACCACTGTTCCGTATTCATATATCCCCCCTCCCCACCCCGGCCGGCGGCCAACCCGGAACCTTGCCAACCCCATGAGGGCACCCCCCCCCCACCATCCCTGTCGAAACATGGTACAAAACGCACTCTGCCTCCACATTTGGAGCATGCGCGGCCAACCCGATGCGCCCCCCACACCATCCCTATCAAAAAACAACGCAGAGTACACTTTGGGGCAAGGTCTTGAGTCATGTTCGTGAGGCCCGCGAGCATTTTGTATTGTGTTTGACAGGGACGGCACGGGGTGTCAGCATATTTCCTGCTATGCGCAAGGGTTACCAACCCTGACAACAGAAACAATATCAAATGCACCTCGCGGCTAAATCGGGATCATGCGCGGCCATCCCGCGATCACTGTGAAGTGGTTTTTGAAAGGGACGGCGGGGGTGGTGGCGCGTGGCCTGCTGTGCGCAGGCCCACCAGACACAATGATGGGCAATGGTTCTCGAGAAAGATGGTGGGGGCCGGCATGTTCCCCGATGTGCTCCCTGACAAGGACCGTCCCCCCCCCCCAGCACCCCCCAGCACGCGCGGAAACAGCACTCGAAAAGGGGCCGCGGCCAGCGGCTCACCGCCCAAACCGCTTGGCCATGTTTGATGAAAACAATGTGAACCCATGATTCCCGTGAGAAGTTGACAAACGACGAACTTTATTTGAAAAAAACACTGGTGCGAATCCGCTGATTGTGTTTAGATGTGTTTTCGTTTGCGGGACACCCGACTTTGACGCCCGCGAAAAGCGAGCGGTTTTGGAAGGCTTTCGGCATGCGCGCGCAAAGACGCGCGCGTGCACTTGGTGCCGTCTGTCCCATAGGATTCGGGAACTTTTGCGATGTTTGATAATCGGGGGCGCGCGAATTTGCGTGTGACGACGAGGGGGGGGGGGGGGGCGAACTTGGACTGGCCTGGCTGGGATGGTGTGATTTCGTAGAAAAGAACAGCGATGGGACAGAAACGCACGTACATTACAAATCGCATAAGGGAACGGATGCGTCCTGGGGGGTGACGGGGGCAGATTCCAGTTTGTAGTTCCTTGCTAAAAAAGGAAATGGGTGGTTGGCAATCCATGTTGCGCAACAGAAGTGGCGCAACGAACGATGCGCAATTCGCCCTGCCAGGCAAAGAAGTATCAACTCCACTGCTCGCGCGCTCAGCCCACCCACCCGCCCACAAGTTGGGCTGCAAAACCAACGCGGCGGCGATTGGGATGACTGCCTGGTGCCGGCTGGCGGCGTCGGCAACAGCAGACTCGATGATGATGGCAACGACGCTGGTGGTGCCGACGACAACTATGACGGCGGTAAGGCTAAAGGCGGCGCCGCGTCACGGTTGCGACGATGATGGCGTCCACGCGTCGGCGATGACGGCCGCGCAAAAACTGCGGCATGCGAGCGCGGCCAGCAGGCGCGAGTGGCCCGCATGAAGTCAGTTCATCGGGACCGCGCCCCCCCTCGCCACCCCCCCCCCGACGCGCGCAAGGGCATTCCAATGATTCCGACATGCGCGCGCAGAAAGCCCGCTCGGTCGCGTGTGATGAACATGTTGGAAAGACAATGGCGTCCGGACGAATTCGCGAAACGATTGCGCGGCCTTTTTTTCCATCGCGTCGGGAAGCCATGCGCGTTTGTGTTGCATGTGCTCGGGGCTCCCGGTTTTGATATCGCCATGGTGTAATGTATGATACACGGGCGCGACTATAGTGTCATTTGACGAAGATTGGCCGGCGGTCGGGCCGGCATGGCTGGCGATGGTATGAACCCATATTGAAAACGAACCATGGGGCAGAATTGCGTGCAAATTGCACATCCCAATGGGAAACGAGTAACGAGGGTGGTGGCGAGGGTGGTGGTGGATCAAGAAGCTTTTGTGGTAAACGGATAATGGGCCATCGCTGGGCAATCCAAATTGTGCAATGTGGCGCAGCCTACGTGGCGCAATTCGCCCTGCCGAACATGACACTGCCAACAACTGCACTGACCGCGCAATCGTGCCACCCACACATCCGCAACTTGGTGTGCAAAACTCACGTGGCGGCGATTGCGAAGAGTGCTCGGCGCTGGCTGGCGCATCGATGCGGCCGCGCTGGCGCGCGCAGGCTTGGGCCCAGGGCGGCCAGCTGGTCTGGCGCGACCGACGCGGCCGCGGTGGCGCTGACCGCCAGGGACTTCCGAGCGAGTCTCGCAGGCCGCGCTGGCGCGCTGGCGATTCAGTGCGAGTCGGTTACTCGGGCGGGCGCAATATCATGGCGACGTCGGCAACGGCAGACACGACGATGGTATGCTGGTCATGACGATACCGAAGACGATGGCGATGTGAGGAAAACCATTGGTTGTTATGGCGTGCGTGGGTGAGCATACGATACTTTAAAACAAAAATGTGGGGGGGGCGATTCAAAAAATAGTTTCGCTTTCCCGGGCGCCCCCAGAAGAGGGGAGGGAACTCGGCCCACGGAGGGGCGACAAGTCGGGTTGGTCCCCAGGCCGTCTGGAGGGCCAAGGGGGCGCCCGAGGGCTGACAATTCAGAGCGGGGCGTTGGCGATCCAGACCGCTGAAAGGCCCCCACTGCCAGCCCAAGGCGCTTCCAGCCCAAGGCGCTTCCAGGCGAGCGTTATCACGGCGCGAGCCCAGAGGCGTAGCGGGGGGGGCACCATTCCAAAAATAATCTGGCCCCTGGATTTGATTAGTCCAACCCTTACAATAGAGCCATAGCCCCCAGGGATAGTGGGGGAGGAATTATTGAAACTGCTCATGACATTCTGTTATCGGAGCACTCGACTTTCAAATCATTACGACATCTTTCCACCTTTTTTCGATGATGCCGTCATGTGCGCAAGCAATTGCGCGCACGTGCATTCTGTCACACGCTGGCTAGGCATTTCTGCAAGTGAAAGGAATTTGATTAACGAGTGCGCGCGCGTAGTATTATTTGGCGAAGCTGCGGGGGGGGGAATTCGATTTGATTGGGATGGTGCGAAATCATAGTTAGAATGAACCATGCGGCAAAATCGTACGTAAATTACACCATCCCAGGTCGGATCTACAACCCCACAGGGGGATAGATCCGAATGTCATTGATATTACAAAGGAGAACCTGTGCGGTGCAGTATTTGTGCAACGTGCACGGTGCAATCTACGCGTTATACAATCTAGGCGGCGACGGGGCGGCGACGAGGCGGCGACGAGAACCACGGAGCCGCCAGACCGCCAGGCAAGCCCAGACGACGGGCAGCGACGAGGCGGCCACGGGGCGGCGACGGCGAACACGGAGCCGCCAGATCGTCAGCCAGGCCCACGCCACGGGCGGCGACGAGGCAGCGAGCATGGAGTCGCCAGACCGGCACGCAGGCCCAGCTACTAAGGGAAGAAAAATAAGAACCCCTAAGTGCAAGCAATGTTTGGGAAACTCTACCAAGTACAATTGGCCTTCAAATCTGGACCATGCGCGGGCACCCCGCGACCACTCTGCACTACTGATAGACAGGGACCGCGGGGGTGCCGGCATATTACAAGTTTCGTACCATGCCACGCGCACACACCCCACCATCCCTCCCAGCAAAAGAATGCAAAACAAATTTGTTGGCAAAATCTTGGGTCATGCTCGTGGTTGGGCGCGGGCACTCTGTATAGCTTGTTTGACAGGGGCGGCGGGGGTTCCAGCAGATGGCCTGCTGTGCGCAGGGCAACCACGCATGTCAAAAAATGATACACACTCACTCCGCGGCTAAATCTGAACCATGCGCGGACCCCCGCGATCACGTTGCATCAGTTTTGGACACGGACCGCGGGGGGGGGGGGCATATTCCTGCTGTGCCAAGGCCCACCAGACATCATGATTGACACTGCGCCGCGAGCGTTACTGTGTTTTCAACAAGGATGGTGTAGTCCGACATGTTACCGGATGTGCGCGTGCCCCGAACGTTGCGCACCTGACGCGGCTGGAGCTTGTGGCACACGTGGCGCACGTGGCACATCTGGAGCACCAGGCGCGCCTGGCACGATTGGGCCTCGGGGGCACCTGGTGCGCTTGGTGCGCGTGGATCGCCTGGCACGCGCGGCGCGCCTGGCACGCGTGGCGCACCTCACTCCAGCAACGCGCACTGGGGTTCTGTATTGGTCCCTTGTAGCTGTCCATCCAAAAACAATCGCTGAACGTGCTGAGACTCGGGTACTACGATGTGTTGGAGACGGCGGGTGGGAAAGCCAGACAATTTGCGTCTGAGAGTGGTGTCTTGAACACTGCTCCCTATTGACAAACACCCCCATCCCCCCAGCGACCGGCAGCCACCCCCAATGCATGTGGGCACCAATGCCAACACCCCCCACAACGTCTCTGCGAAAGAGCAATACCACACTTTGGGGCAAAACCTTCGATCATGCTCGTGGGCCCCGCGAGCACTGTGTAATTATGGTTTTGAGAGGGACGGCGGGGGTGCCAACAGACTGCCTGCTGCGCTCGGGGCCACCACCAATGTCAAAAAATACAGAAAACGCACTGCTCGGTTGCATCTGTAGCATAGACGGCAATCCCGCGATCAGTGTCCATCGGTTTTTGCCAGGGACACAATGATGGCCACCCCGCCGCGATTGCGCACTGGCTGTCAACAAGGATAGTGGGGAACTGACATGTTTCTCTGTGTGCTGCCACGTGCGAGGGCGCCCCTAGTGCCCCGAACGTGGCGCACATGGCACGGCTGGAGCGTGCGGCACACATGGCGCGACCAATTGGAGCGTTCGAGAAGGCATCGGCTGAAGGGCAAGCATAATTCACCTTACACAGGTTTTGCGCCGTTTTGGCCTCCTGGGGGAGCGAGGCTAATCAGGAGCCCCTCCTTTTTTGGTCGAAGTCCTCCAATATGGCCCTCAAGGCTCCCAAGAATGACCCAAGAGAGATCCAAGAGTCGCCCAGGAGGCCCCAGGAGACCCTCAAGAGGTCCCCAACAGGCTCCCAGGAAAATCCCCAGTAAGCTTCCCCGAGGCACCCAAGATGCTTCAAAGGGCTCTGGGACACCGACGAAGCCTCCAAGACGCCACATCCGAAGAGACTCCGAGACGCATCCAAGAGGCCTACGGCCTATCTGCTCGCGGTCCTGCTCCTCCTCTTCCTGATCCGCCTCTTCCTCCTCCTCCCTCCTCCTTCCTCCCTCCTCCCCTCTCCCATCCCCCTCCTCCTCCTCCTCCGATGCCTTTTCAATCCTCCCAATCTTTGGGCATGACGGCTTCCCAACCCTTTCTTCCACTGCATGCTCCTCCAAATCCGCGATCAGGGCAACTCGCCTGGGCATCGTTTCTGGATGGGCTGGTGGGGTTACGCGAAACGTCCCGCAGAGAGCACCAAGCCCGTTGTTTGGCCCCAGTTGGGTCGACAAACTCGAGGACCCAGAGGAGAAACAAATGAAAAACCAAAGGAATTCCGAATCCCGTCTTAACAACGTCTGCTCTTTCTTACAGCGCTCCAGAGGTAGCAGGGCAGGAGTAAAGAGTGCACGAGGATGGATAACATCTAACAACGCAGCAGGTGCAGTGGAACCAACCTGCATGAGGAGAGGGGAAACAGCAAGAAGGACATTTCTGGCAAGTTGGGATTCGACAGCTGAGCGTTCTCTGATTCGGCGTTTCGATATTGGGCGGAATGGGGGGGAGGGCGGGGGGGGTGGCTCCGGACCTCTGCCCAGTGCGACTGTTTGCAACCGCGCGTCCGATGAGGGGGGCTCCACTCTCTCGAAACAGGCGCCCCAAACAGCCAAGATCTACTCCATGGGGTGGGGGGGGGAGGGGGGCGGGTGCGAGGGCCCGCGCCGATCGGCAAAACAATACATAAAAAACGATCACCAACCTCCTCAACAAATTATTGTTTCGTGGATCGAGTCGTCAGACATCGGCCTCTGCGGCGAGAGCGCGGTCGGAACCCCAACGAGCCCTTCCGGTCTGGCCACCAAAAAGATAGTGGTAAACTGCATGGATCTGCCGCAAACTAACGATCCGCGAACCCCCCGCTTGCAGCGGGTGAGATGGCGGGTGAAATGGAAAGCTGCACATCTCGCCATGCCCCCCCCTCCACAAGGAGCTAAAGCCACGTGCGAAGGCGGGAGAGAGAATGTGCCTGCCAAGCCCAACCCCCCGCGGTCGGCGGAGTGGCGCAGCTTGCTGCAGTGGGAGCAATCGCCGAGCACCTGGTGCGAGGGCTTCCCCGCTCACGCGGACGCCGCTCTGTCCCGAATCACGACGTCCTTTAGAAGAAGAGCAGTCTACATAAACACAAACTTTCGGAGGTCCGCGCGAATTTCTCGGATCTTTGCCGAACCCCATCCCTGGCGCGCGGAGCGCGCCAGGGGCGGCGCCAGCGGCGCCGCCAACGAGTTCCAGCGCAGGTCCAAGAAACCTGCGCCGAGCGTCGACAGTTCATGCCAATGCAGTTCTCACTTCCTCGATCCTCACCCCCCGGTGCCATAGGCGCATCAGATTGAACGCCGAGGTCGCCACGGTCCCAGTCCTCCTCCAGCCCAGACAGCACTGCCTCCTCGCTCATCGCGGCCTTGACGTTGGACACCCCAGACACCGCACCGACCTGGTCTGGGTAGAGGCTGATACGCGCCTGCACCGCCTCCGCACTCAGGCCGCTGAGCATCTCCGAAGACATGCTGGAGAGCAGCTCGGCGGAGAGCTGCACCGCCTGGGTGTCCAGGTCCACGACATCGTCCTCGTCAGCCTGCCTGCCCGCGGGCGCACAGACGGGGTCACGGGCAACACTGGACGCTGCGGCGGACGCGAGCACGGCGCTGGCCATGAGGGCCCACACGGCGAGGGCGCGGGCGAGCATCCTGGCAGCAGACTGGTGGGCGAGCGTCGAAAGGAGTCGATGTATGTGAGCGGTATGGAGCCACCGAGGAGTTGCGCGGTGGTCGACAGGCGCAATCGTGGGTGAGCCAAACCAGCTGCGGCGAACGCGAGGTTGCCCGAGCAGGACCCTGCAGCGGCGACGGCAGCCACGTCAGGCGGAGGAGCGGGCTCAGAAGCAGGAGCGGACCAGTGAGCAGGAGGCGCAGCACAGGGAAGGGGGACCATGAACAGCGACCATCATCGGACCAGCAGGACCGGACCCACCCGGCGACCCCGTGGGCTCGGACTCCCCCGGGAACGTGTTGAAAACCAGGGTCCCGAGTGAGTAGCCCGGACCTACGAGGGCGGCGGATGCGTCGGGCCCAGTCCGTCGGGTGACCCCTTGGGGGGGAGATCGAAGCAGGAGGGCATCGTGGCGGCGGATGCGGGGCAACCAAAAACAGGTGTCCATACCGCTACTTCCCCCCTGTGCAGGGGCGACTTCTGACCATAATGTCAAGGGGCGAATCCAGCCGTGGCGACGAGAGCTTCCCTGGAGGCCCAGAAAAGCGAAAACGAGACCAGGGTAGCGGCATCGGCACACTCGAGACTGATAGCAAGGATGCGCGGCAAGGATGCGAGCCCCTTGGACGCCCATATCGAGGCTTCTCGAACGGAGCCGGTCTCGACTGTACCCCTCCCTCCTCTGTGGATGAGCACAGCCTGCGGAGCCGGACGGCCGCACCGCCGAGAGGAAGGGGCAACAGCAAGGCCTGCCGCGAAACACGGAGCCGCAGCGGCGCTGTGGGGAGGGAGCAGGCCTGGCGAGCCAGGCCTGGCCCCCGCGGCGCGCTGGAAGAGGTGAGGGCGAGGGCGATGATGGCAATTTCGATGGCAACCCACGGGGGCCTCCCATACCATCTTGTTGGCCCTGGCGAATCGGCGCAAATCGATGCCGAATGACGGCGGTCGACGCTCCATCGACGTTGGCCAACGCTCGAAATAGCCGGCGCCGGCACCACCTCATCGACTACCAGACGCTAGCCAAAGCGAATATACATCAAAGACGGCGTTGCGACGATGAACAAGGCTCCGAGGTTTGACACCGAAGGGGCACGATACGGGAATGATGCCCTTGGGTAGGCTAGGAAAGCATATTCTCCTGCGAGCGATCCCCACCCAAACCCCGAGGCGGGAGGCCCAATTAGCATTGGCACGCTTTGGGCCTGCCGGCCGCGGCATCCGTCAAGGGTGCGAGGCGGCTGCCCAGAAAACTCTGGCACGCTTCGGGGCTGCTGCCACGGATATGTAGAACATGCGAGGCGGGTTTGGAGGTCTTTTCCTTGAGTCGAACGACCCCAGCCTGGCGGGTGGGCCAGGAAAGCCTTAACACACAAACTGGGATGGTGACGATCGGGCGGATGATGAGGTACCGAGCAGGATGAGGAGAGAGGAGGAGGAGATGGATGGCAGAAGTGGAAAGGATTGATCAAGATGCTCCGGAGAAACCACGATGAGGAGGATCGGTGGGAGGAAAAACAGTAGGACAAAGATAACACGGACTGCGCTCCATTCCTTCTCTTCATGACTGAATAGTGATCTCCTCCCCGGCTCACCCTGAAGCGGGTCGAAGGGCGGGCCAGGTCTTTCGCACGAGACTTCCTCTCCATCTATGCATTTGAAACTTGAGACTTGCAAGTGATTCGCGGGTAGACGGCGGTTGTATTCAAAATGTGTGTCGCCTTCGTTTTCGCCTTTGTTTTCGCCTCTGTTTTCGCCTTCGTTCCCAGATTCGTTTCGGGCCTTGTCTCCGTTTTTGCTCCTGTGCTCGTTCTCGCCTGCGTTCCCGCCTTCGTTCCCGCAGTCGTTCTCGCCTTTGTCCCCGCCTTCGCTCCCGCCATCGTTCTCGCATTTGCTCTCGCCTTCGTTATCACCTCCGTTCCCGCCTTCGTTGTCGCTTTCGTTCGCGCCTTCGTTCTCGCTTTCGTTCCGCCTTCGTTCCCAGATTCGTTATCGCCTTCGTTCTCGCGCTCGTTCTCGCTTTCGTTGTCGCCAACGTCATGACCTTCGTTTTCGTTTTCGTTCCCGACTTAGTTATCAACTCCGTTTTCGCTTTCGTTCTCGCCTTCATTCTCGCCTGCGTTCTCGGCGACGTTCTCGCCTTCGGTTCGCCCATTGTTCTCGCCTTCGTTCTCGCCTCCGCTCTCGCTTTGGTTCCCGCCTTCTTTCTCGTCTTCGTTCTCGCATTCGTCCTCGCTTTATTCCTCGCTTGCGTCCCCGCTTTCATTCTCAAATTCGTTCTCGCGTTCTTTCTCGCCTTCGTTTTCGCTTTCGTTCTCGCGTTCGTCCTCGCGTTCGTCCTCGCGTCCGCCCCCGTCCCCGCACTCGTCCCCGCTGTCGTTATTGCGTTCGTTTTTGCGTTCGTTCTCGCCGTCGTTCGCGCCGTTGTTCGCGCCATTGTTCGCGCCATTGTTTCCGCCTTCGTTCCGGGCTTTGTTTTCGCTCTCGTTTCCGATCTCGTTCGCATTCTCGTTTCTGGCCGCGCTCCCGCCCGCGCATCTGCCCTCGCGCTCGCCTTCGTGCCCCCCCGTGTTCCTTTGTCGTCTCGCCCTTCCTTGAGCATCCAATGCGTCTATATATCGGGAGCACTCTTATTTTCGAACTGCGCCAGGATCTGCTCCGACAGTACTCGAATGAACAAGCCGGCCGCGAGATACTTCCCCGAGGTTGGGGGGGTGTTTTCTAGACGCACGCAGGATATCATGCTTTCAGATCGAACGACAGGCAGCCCCATAAACTTCGCCATGCACGCCCTGTAAAACTCAGGCGCGTTCGGAGCGGCCACCCTGCGCTTCCCAAGCGTCGCGACGGACCCGCCAAAGCCATCATCTCTGTAGTTCCAGTCTTTGGGCGGTTGTCCTCCAGATGAACGCTGCTCTAGAAATGGACGCAGTTTGGGCCCAACGCGAAACGCGTTATCATCCGACGCGGCCAACGCAGTGACATGCGGAGCGAATCTCATTTAATGCCCCAGCACAGCGTCTCTCGCAAATGGGAAATTACATGCAAGCGCCTCCCCCCAACTTCCCTCCTATCCTCCTCGTCCCCCCCCCTCCTATTCCACGTCGTGCCCATCTGCTATTCCGTTGTGCGTCGCCCCCTTTTCCTCCCCCCCCCCCCCCCCGCCTCCCCTCATCCTTTCCCGCGCCCTCTTCCTCCTCGCCCTCCCCCATCCGCCTCCACCTTGTCGCGATCCTTCTCAGTGTCCTGCTCGTCCTTCCTCGCCCCCCGCCCCCCCGCCCCTTCTCCCTGCGCATCGCCCCGCCGCTCGCCCTTCCCGCCGCCCCCCCCCCTCCCCCGTCCTCTCTCCTGCTCATCCTGCTTCTCCGCTCCTCCAGTCGACTCGCATTCCTCTTGTGATTGTTGTGCCGTTGCCATTGCTGCTGCCGTTCGCCACCGCCCCCCGCCCCCCCCCCCGCCCCTCCTCCAGCTCGCCCTCCCCGCCCCACTGTTCGGCGCGCCCTGCTCGCCCCGCGCGCGCTGCTCAACGCCCCCCCCCCCCCCCCTGCGCCACTCGCGCGAGCGCCCCCTCTGGCGATGGGGGCGGCAGCTGCAAAATGCGCGTTGGAGGGCCTCGGATCGGAACCGCAGGGAGAAGGAAGTGGATGGGGGGGGGGGGGGGAGCACGAGCCAAAATTCTAACGCGCCGAAATCCCACGCGCCCCCCCCCCCCCCCCTCCCAAGGCGGCGCAGGGGCGAAGCGGGGGGGGGGATGGGGGGGGGGGGGAGGGGGGGGGGCAGAATTGGAGCGGGCACGTGCGTTTCCATCCTGGTTCAACTTGATCTTGCACTGAAAACAGCATTCCGCGCCCTGCCACCCTGGCAGTTTCAGCACCTCCTTGGACATATTCCAATCGCCCTCGACCTGGCAAGCAAGCCCCTGGGAGGTGGTCGCCCTCTCTCGCCGTGCTGTTCGGCCTTCAATTTGTCGCCGCTCCCGATTGGCGCTCCATCGCGCCTGCTCGACAGCCGAGTCGCAGTTGCGAGAAGCGCGTGCAGCCCCGATTGTTTTTGGGACAGCTGATTCTTAAGCAAGCAAGCGCGCGGTAGGCACGAGGACGTTCTTGCATCGCTCCTCCAAGCCAAGCAGTAGAATCAATGCAATGTCAGCAGCCAGGCTGCGGCAGCAATTTCATGGCGCGCCGTCCTGCCAGATGCCGCGGGGGACCGGGTCGGCGTCGCCGAGAGACGAAATTGCGTTGTTGAGGTCACATCGAGACAAGATCTAACCCAGATGCGCCAGCCAAAACATCTGCGCGGCCGATAAACGTCAAGCGATCCAAGATTTCGCGGGGCAGCATGACCTGCATGTTCTAAAACTCCTCCGCCTGCGCTGTAGCGAACCCCCCGCGCGTCGCGCGCGCGCCGTGGTGGTCAGCCGTCCTCCCGGATAACTCGTCGACTGGCACGCGGCGCGCGCGCCGGGCATGCTTCGGGCGGCGCCGCCACAGGCGCAAGAACGGCGGGCGTCGCCGGCCAATTAGAGAGCCTCGGGCGGCCGACAAAATATTGAGCGACGCGAGGTCAGCGACGTTCGCCCTCGGCGTCTGCTGGCCGCGCGCGCCAGTCGCAGCAACCGCGGGCGATTGATTCTGCGTCGACGGCGAGCGCCGGAAATGGCGCGCCCCTCCGCGGGGCCCGCTGGAGAAGCACGAAGAGAAGAGTTGAAGGTTCCCCTCCCTCGAGAAGGGCTCGCGCTGGAAATGGCGAGAGAGCGCGGCGACGTCGGGGGCGTGGAAGATGAGAGACAGAGGGAACGAGAGATGGACAAAACACATAGGACAGAGACACACAAAACAGAGAGAGAGAGAGAGAGAGGGAAAGAGGGAGAAAGAGAGAGAGAGAGAGAGAGAGAGAGAAATAAAGAAAGAAAGACAGAGAGAGAGAGACAGAGAGAGAGAGAAAGAAAGAGAGAGAGGGAAGAACAAACAAAGGTGAGAGAGAGAGAGAGAGAGGGGGCAAATAAAACACATAAAGAAAAATAGAGAAAGACAGAGAGAGAAAGAGAGAGAGAGAGAGAGAGCGAGAGAGAGAGAGAGGGAGAGAAAGAGAGAGAGA